AAACCAGTCTGTGATTCTATGATTCTATGGCCATGGACATGTCTTGGAGCCAGTCCTAGGCTCGTGAGGGACCAGATCTCACCTGTACCCATTTTCTCTCCCCACAGTGTAAATGTGCTCAGTACTGGCCGGATCAGGGCTGCTGGACCTATGGGAACATCCGAGTGTCCGTGGAGGACGTGACCGTCCTGGTGGATTACACCGTGCGGAAGTTCTGCATCCAGCAGGTGCCAGGGCTTGCATCTTCCATCCCATCCCATCCCATCCCATCCCATCCCATCCCATCCCATCCCTCTTCTCTCCATGCTGGGCATCCAACAGACACTGCTGTGCTCCTCAACTCTTCTAAGGTGCTGTGGGAGCAAAGTTGGGATGACATGACCCCAACATCCATTTTTAACCAGAGCTTTGAAGAATTTACTCACCATAAACACTTGGAAGCCCTCTCCCAGCAGGTACCAGCGTGGCTGTACTGAGAGCAGGGGAGATGATGGATGCCATGGCTGAAATTCAGTCCTCTTGCTGTTACCAATATCGGTTCCTGCTCTCGCCCACAGACACTTAATTCCTGCAAATAATCACATTTATCCCATGAGCCGAGACAAAACCCCGCGCCGTGTGCCTGGGTTTTCATTGCTTCCCCATCTGTCGCTGCATTTCCTCATCCTCTGAGGAGGATCTGGATGCTTCAGTCGCTCTGTTTGTTTTCCTGCTGCTCTCAGAGGCAGGTGAGGAAGAACTGGTGATTGAAAACCTGTCTGGACCATGAGTGAGGTTCTCCTGAGCTTCACCCTTCACTCCACCAGCCTGGATGTGGGTGGTTTCCTCTCCTGTCTTTAACTGAGGATGCTGTGGGCAGAGGGGGGGGAAACGATGGAGCAACAGCTTCTGTTTGAGATCGCTGGGAACAAAATACAGCAGCTTCTGCCAGGTCAGGGCTGGCATCTCTCACCCCTGGGATGCAGGATGTGATGTTGGGTGATTAAAATGTCACGCTTTTGGAGACTAATTGGGCCCTGAGCCTGTTCCATGCCCTTTCAGCTTGTGGATGCTGGTGCTTCCTAATCCTTCCAGCTCAGTTTTGGGGCTGTAGTTCCCTCTCTGCCCTGGCTTTTGGGGGAAAGAAGGGAAATACGAGTATTTATCATTAACCTGAATTCTTCTTGTCTCTTCAGGTCGGCGACGTCACGAACAAGAAGCCTCAGCGCCTGGTGACTCAGTTCCACTTCACCAGCTGGCCCGACTTCGGGGTCCCCTTCACCCCCATCGGGATGCTGAAGTTCTTGAAGAAGGTGAAGACATGTAATCCTCAATATGCAGGAGCAATAGTAGTGCACTGCAGGTAAGTCCTGCTCACGGCTGACCTCTGCCTCTCCTGAGTGGCTTGGACTTGGAAATTGTCTCATCTTTAATACAGAAAGGAGGGGGTTTTTTTTTCAGTCAGGCCTTTTTATTATTTTTATTTACCTTTCCCATGTTAAATGGGAATGTTCCACATGGGAACCTTCAAAAAATTCATGAGAATTGAAGGAACTTCTTGGAATCAGTGATATGGTGGTGTTACAAGTCATGTTGAGTGATCTTTGGGTTGGCTGGATGCTGAGTGAGCCCAGCTAAGCACCACTGCTGGGCATTGGTGGCATCTCCCTTGGCTCTCTGCTGCCCTGGGCATGAGAGGGCAATGTTCCTTGTTGGGAGAGGGCAGTACTCAGCTGACAGCGTGCCTGGGAGCAAGGACCATGGTGTTTAGAATCATTGAATGGTTTGGGTTGGAAGGGACCTTAAAGCTCATCCACTTCCAACCCCCCTGCCATCAGCAGGGACACCTTCCACTAGACCAGGTTGCTCAAAGCCTCATCCAACCTGGCCTTCAACACTTCCAGGGAGGGGGCATCTACAACGTCCTTGGGCAACCTGTTTAACCTCACATGGAGTGGTTCCAGGTACAGCAGCAAGCCTGGGGGAGCCACAGATACATTTCAATAAGGGAAAGCCCCACAATTAAAGGCAGAGATGATCATGTTTGCAACCTGCCAAGTCCAGCTTTCTTCTCAGGAGGCAGCTGACAAAAGAACTTTCATCTTTCCATTGCACCTGCTTGGCCTCATCTTTCTTTTTCTCCTTAATGGTTGAGTTACCAGCACAGAAACAAGGCTTCTCCATGGGCTCCAACCTTCACGTGATGGAGGCTGAGTGGAAGGAACAGCAGGCAGCTGGTAGGAACAGCAGGCAGCTGATAGGAACAGGCAGCCCATAGGACTCTGGAAGCCATAGCTGGCTCAGGTTGAGCTTTGGCTCACCCTGCTCTCTGCCTTCATGCATTCCAGTCACAGCTGGAGATGCTGTCCACATCTCTCTGCAAAACCCAGGCGACACTGAACACCAGGCTGAGGACCTCTCTCATCTCCAAAACAGATTTTGCTATTTACTCATGGCTGGGATGAATCTGGCTTCCTCCCTGCTGCTCTACAAGGGGACCAACGCTCCTTCCCTGACCCCTTACTTGTCCCCTCTGCTCTTTCAGCGCCGGGGTGGGACGCACGGGCACTTTTATCGTCATCGATGCCATGCTGGACATGATGCACGCGGAGAGGAAGGTGGATGTTTACGGCTTCGTCAGCCGGATCCGGGCTCAGCGCTGCCAGATGGTACAGACAGATGTAAGTGTGCTGCTGGGGTCTCCTCTGGGCTTTGCTCACTTGGAGGTAGGTTTCAGGACCCAACCCACAGTGAAGTCTATGTGCAAGTTGAGCATCATCCCTCGTTTTTGGAAGGATGCTGCATCAAGTGAGCCTTTCGCTGAGTCCTGCTCTTTTTAATCCCCAGTCGTTTAGATTGGAAGAAATTCTTAAGATCATTGAGTCCAACCATTAACCCAGCCCTGCCAAGTCCACCACTAAACCCTAGAATCATAGAATCACAGCATGGTTTGGATTGGAAGGGACCTTCAAAGGTCATCTAGTCCACCCCCCCTGCCATGAGCAGGGACATCTTCAACTGGATCAGGTTGCTCAGAGCCCCACTCAACCTGACCTTGAATGTTTCCAGGGATGGGGCTTCTACCACCTCTCTGGGCAACCTGGGCCAGTGTCTCACCACCCTCACATAAAGACTTTCTTCCTTATCTCCAGTCTAAATCTCCCCTCTTTTAGTTTCAAACCATCACCCCTTGTCCTGTCACTACAGGCCCTGCTGAAAAGTCTGTCCCCATCTTTCTTACTGGCCCCTTCAAGTACTGAAAGGCATCAAAAAGGTCTCCCTGGAGCCTCCTCTTCTCCAATCTGCAGAACCCCAACTCTCTCAGCCTGTCCTCATAGCAGAGGTGCTCCAGCCCTCGGATCGTGTCCCTAAGCACCACATCTACATGGTTTTTAAATCCCTCCAGGGATGGGGACTCCACCACTGCCCTGGACAACCCCTTCCAATGCCTGACAACCCTTGCAGCAAAGAAATTCTTCCTCACATCCCATCTCAACTGCCCTGGGCACAACTTGAGGCCATTTCCTCTTGTCCTGTCCGTTGGTCCTTGGTTGAACAGACCCACCCCCACCTCTCTCCACCCTCCTCCAAGGGGCTTGGACAGAGCCACAAGGTCTCCCCTCCTTTTCTCCAGACTTGTTGAGGGTTTTGTGTCATGTCAGCTTTGTGTCTTGTAGCAAATAAGGTCCCAGTCCCCATACAGCAGTAGAGAGGTTGTTACCCACTTTCCTGGGGTCTCGGAGAGGTGCCACGTGCCCAGCGAGCCTGGGTGGGCAGTGGGGTGGTGGGTTTGCTGCCAGCATGTGCGTGGGCACCAGGATGTGCTCGCTGAGCATGGAGCAGAGGCTGATGGCTTCTCCCTGCAACCCTTGCAGATGCAGTATGTGTTTATATACCAAGCACTTCTGGAGCACTATCTCTATGGTGACACGGAGCTGGAGGTGACCTCCTTAGAGATCCACCTCCAGAAGATCTACAACAAAGTGCCGGGGACCAGCAGCAATGGGCTGGAAGAGGAGTTTAAGGTGAGTGTGATTCTTATCCTGATGGATCCATTTGGATGGTGCTGGGCTGTGGGGACCACCAGCTCTGAAAGCTGTCCCTGCTTTCATTCCTTCCTCTACAGAAGCTCACTTCAATCAAAATTCAGAATGACAAGATGAGAACGGGCAACTTGCCGGCAAACATGAAGAAGAACAGAGTGCTTCAGATAATTCCATGTAAGACTTGTTTGTCTGCCTGGGGAAAGCACATCCAGTGGGTGTGGGGACCATTTGGGTGGTTGAGGGGACAGGAGTCAGGCTGGAGAAATGGGCCAACAGGAACCTC